TGGTAAATCAATTATATCTTACTTTATTATTGAATAAGAAATAAGAAAATCAGCCCTATCGTGGTGTTCCTACGTTCTTCTTTTTTATTTGTTGTTTTTACATCCAAGGTACATCATATTGTCAATAAGTCACAAATTGTTGCATGAGTTAAGAGCTACAAGAACTGCAGCCACCAACACCACATATGCTTCTTATAAAATTTATATTTCGTGCTAGGCTACATGAACCTCATGAAATGCTGCTGTATACATGATGTTTTGTCCTCATACATTGTGTGTACTAACTTGCATGTAAGAAGTGCTTGTTTTTGCAAACTTTCAAAAAATTGATATAGTTATTATATTTACATATATTATCAAAAGTTTTAATTAAATCCAAATTTTTTGTTGCAAAAGTATTATTCATCATGTGAAAATTATATCCATCTTGTGGTAATAATTATAGTCATCCATAAGGTATGGATCAAGATGATGAGATGGCCTTCTTCCTCATCAGTCGAATGATCATGAATTAGATCATGTTCTTAGTCCCATGTTTGTCCATCGTACTGGGTTCGTCAATGTCCTTAACTTACTGGTCAAGTGCTGACCTAAGAATCTTTGTCAGCAACCATGTGCTATCTCATCTAAGGGGACCTTGTAGGCTAAACGGTTGGGGAACCTAATCCCAGGCTGACAATTGGGAGGTGCATAGGCTAAGGGATAGTGCACCTATTTCTATGTTACCTACACTAGGATGCCACACTTAAATTATATACATGCTTATGAAGAAGTGTGATGTGAATGGAAAAGATGTAGACTAAAGAAATCTAGTGTCGGAGCTTCTACCTATACTCCACATCAACCATCGGGATCGTAGGTGGAGTGGGCTTTATACTCAATCATTCTAGTTTGTAAATGTTTATGCAGTTCTCATCATCAATTCATATGAAATGGCTAACTTAATGTTAATGTGAGGAAAAAGAGAAGATGCTAAGAAGTATAGTATATGTTCATTGTGTTTCTAACATCCATCATTGCATAGCTCTTTACCAACAAATAGCAACCATTGACAAAGTAGTCGGAGGGGAACATGCAATAGCCGACCGCCCCCTTGCCCTCTCATGCTCGGCCAGATGGAACGCATGCTAGAATCAAAGGGTCGGAGGGAGAAGGATACGCATACGCAAGCATCTCCTTACCTCATATCCCATTCGCCGAAGTAGAACACATGCAAGAGCCAGTCGTCGCCTCCGCTCTCACCCCTAATCGAGCCGCATGAACTCGCCCCCAAGTCCCCCTTAAATTGATATAATGGCTATTAAGGAAGAAAGATTACCATCTTGCCCTTCCTCTAATTCCAAATCAAAGGGATGAAACTTGCTTTGCCAAATTGAGAGGATTAAATTTCTAAATAAAGTTGAATTAAGCAACCAAACTTTGTTTATATTTGGATTTGGGCTCATTTAAGAAAATCGATTTATGCTAATTGATATTAATTTGTTTTATATTGAGTTGAAACAGATCAAATTAGGTCGATTAAAATTGTCATGCCTTAAATTGCATCGAGTCAAGTTGAATCGACTCGACGTCACTCAATTGAAATTAGATTAGTTATGATCAATTCGAACTGGGCTCGATTCAATTTAATAGGTTGACGACGGCGTTGAGGTCGAATCAAACACAAATCGAGTCGAGCTGACCCTACATTGAATTGAATTAACTCGATTTTGTACAATTTAACATAATTTAGATTAAATTGGCCTTCATTAACTTGAAGTCGAATTAATTAAAATTTGATTAGGTGTAAACATATTTGATTGAAATCAAATCAATGCGATCGAGATTGTGTCGACACTATATCATCTCACATCCTCCTAAGGGAAATCCTAGGGTGACTTCTACACTATGGTAAGGAGCCCTAAGTGCTAGGAGAACCATAGAGGAAGGTCGACCTCACTAAAAGTGAGTTCAACAAATGGACCCCTAATATATGTGGTGGACTCTGTAAGAATACGCCACACATATTGACATTGACCGAAGTAATCAACAAGATCCAAAAAGAAGTAAAAATTTGATTTTGACTGATGTTTTTCAAGTTCTTTAGCTTGACATGAGATGAAGAGTTTAAAGTTAATTTGATTTAGTAGATGTGATGAATTCAATTAGATTGAATTTGAAGGGGTCCCTCGTTCTAAAACGAGGGTATCTGAACATATGAATCCCCACCTATCTCTAGGGTTAAAAGTTTAAATTCATTCTAGTTCAAGGAAATGCAGCCTAAGTATGGGACTCACACCTATTCCAACAAACTAGAGGGTACTTCTAAGGAAAGAAGCCTAAGTGTGAGTACTCACACGTATCCTTTGGAAGACTAACTGACATATTTGGATGGATAAACTAGGAAGATGCTTGTAAATGACATGCTCCAACACTAGTTAACCGGATCCTAAGGGAAAAATGCCAAAGTGTGGGAACTCACACCTATTCCTAAAGGACAACTTAAAATATCTGGTCAAGAAGGTTAAACTAGGAATGTGTCTGTAAAAGGTGTGCTCCAACACTAAGTAACTGGGTCCTAAGGGAAAGGATGCCTAAGTGTGGGGACCTACACTTATTCTTAAAGGACAACTTAAAACATTTGGTATGGAAGGTTAAACTAGGAAGGTGTCTGTAAAAGGCGTGCTCCAACACTAGCTCAATGAGTCATAAGGGAAAGGATGCCTAAGTGTGGGACTCACACCTATTCCTAAAAGACGAATTGGGTGACTTGGAAAAGGTTCTCTAGCATATACCTAATGTCACACTAGAAATGAGATTCGAAGATCCAAGCCCTTATTAGCGCTCCTTAACTCAGATTATAGTCAGACATACTGATGAGTTATCCTGAACTATTAGAGCGAGAATTATTTTTAGTTTGAAAGATTTGAAAAGATTTAATACTGAAGTTTTGATCTTTCCTCCGCATTACAAATGACATTAACAATTTTTATATAACACATTAGGAATGTTATGCCATTTGTACTATCTTTTTCCAAGAGGAAAGAAACTAATCGAAGAGATTTTGAATATTGAAGAATATGAAAATTTTAGATTGAAATTTCACTTCTTTTTGTTTTTAAAAGTGAGGTCAGCACTCCTCTCTTGACTTTAAACTCACTCATGGGTTTAGATATCATTGCCTTTTTAAGTCATTATTCCTCGAGGGAGTCTCGCTCTTTCTTGGTTGTGCATGTGCATGAAGCGAGCTTGTCTTAAAAAAATAGCATCTCTCAAGAACTTTTACTGTCTACTAACCGCTTTTTTTTTTGGCCATTTAGATCATTTAAGGCAAATTCACACACACAATGCATACACAAAGACTCGAACCCAAGATCTCTTAGTTGGAAGCCTAAGCTGTCAACCAACAGGCCAAGATAAGCTATGTTTCTACTAACCGCTTTAAAGCACAGAAAATTGCATTCTCAACTGATGGCATAATATGCGAACTGTGCAGCATTTCCAGCCTAACAACAAACACCTAGCACTATTCCTTACTAACGTTGCTTGTGGTTTTGGAGTCTTGTAACTTAGCATTATCACTTTCTGTCGGTGGTTCCTGTCTAGAACTGAACATGGTTGCATTTGGAGTGCTAGGCAAAAGAAGTAATGTCCGACTTCATAGTGATTAGCTGGAGGTGTGTAATAAGTAGCAACCGCGTCATAGCCTCGTGCTCCAATTTGTGATTCACACATCGTTTCCAGTTTTGTTTTTACTTCACAAACAAAATCCTATTACTTATTCACCATTTACTGATGTTGTTTGTTGATTTAATTTACCAAATATTTATTCAGCAAAATGGCTCCTCCAAAATCGCTAGTTGTGAAGTACAAAGAGAAATAGTAAATAAAATTTAAAAATGTTCTTACAATCAAAATTTGTTCTGAGGGCGCTGCCCCCGTGGATCCCCGACATATCTTCGAAACGTACAATGATCAAGGATATAACAAATAGGGGTCAAGCTGACTTCAAGGCAAAAAAAAAATCTCTACACTTTTTTGCCCCCCTGAAAATTAAGGCTGGATCCGCCCTTGAGGCTAGGCAAACCAGTTTTAAAAATTTTCTAGGTTGAGCGTTGAAGCTAAATCTCAGTTGGTGAAATTAGTGGTTCATAGTGGTGTTAATTGTAGCTGAGGACTATAATGCATTCTGATGCCAATAGGATATGTGCTACATAATTCCTATCTCATTTCTATATAAGAAATATCTGTTTTTGTGGATTCTCCAGCTTTTCTTTTCGATCATCCGAATCCATAGTCTGTTGAGATATATTGAATTATTAGCGTTTACTTTTTTTGGTTTTTAAGACAAATTTGTGTATTAATTACTTGACACTTTAAATGTTGGTCAAACAATATTGTCTTTCCCTGCATGATTTTGAGCCATCTTTTGAATGTTAGGCTTGCTTGGATTTGTAACTAATTACGGTATTACTGCTAATTTATGGATTCCAATCACCAATTTCTAGCATTTGCTGCATGTAAGCTTACAAATTAAAGCTTCGTTTGGAACGGCTTTTCTATTGCTTCTTAAAGCAGTTTTTTAGTATAAAATTTTCTAAAAAACTGTTTTAAGAAGCAATAAGAAACCCGTCTCAAATGAAGCCTAAGATAACATGCATGATCCAGATGCATATTTTTAAATGACCAAAGATTGCTTCTCCGCTATGAAACATTTTGGTACCTTTGAATTGGAAGAAAAAAGAAAACCGATCGAATTGGTAAGAAGAAAGAAGATTGACCTGAATTGTTCCCAGGGCATTGTCCGCCATTTCAATGAATAATCTCGGTTGTCTTACCAATGTGATGACCCATTTTCACTGTTTGGGTGTATACAAATATATTACTTACTAAATAATTCACCGTTTGGCTGTATACAAATGTAAATGTTTCTACCAAATAAAGAAAATCACCATGGATAAAATACAAAGTTAATTTTTACCTATATCAATATGTCATTAAATTGTTTGTTGTTTATCTAGGCATTTGAGGAGGCTATTGCAGAACTGGATAGTCTGGGTGAGGAGTCTTACAAGGACAGCACTCTTATAATGCAGTTATTGCGAGACAATCTCACTCTCTGGACTTCTGATGCTCAGGTAACCATTTCTTCATAAACTAGCTTCGAGAAAATATGAACTTTTAACTGAATAGAAGTGTTCATCATTCACAGGATCAGATAGATGAAGCTTAGTTTGTGGTAGCAATAGTAGAGGTGTTCTCAGGGGAGGTGGACCGTAATGTCAGTTGCCTGTAAGCACATAAGCTACCAAACCTTTGATGTCTATGATAAATGGTCTCAGCTACTGAAACTTTTGGCCTTTTTCTCTTAACTATAAGTACCTGGACTTCCTATCTCTCATTTCCTCATTTTATATTATGTAGCATACTCAATCTGCTTAGGTGTTTAGGTTGTTTATCACCATTTTAGGAGGGCATATTGTTAACTCCAGAAAAATACACTTATGATTGAAGCTGCAATACCAGTAGTGATTATGCCTTGCAGGAAAATAATTGGCTGGTTTGTTTTCTAATTTTCTGTTTAGGGTACAGTTAACAAGCTCAATTATCTGTTTGAAGTACAGTTAACAAGCCTAAGACTGGGTTAGTGTTGATGCTGAATTGGAACTCTAAGTTATTGGATAGAATTATCATCATTATCATTAGCCTTATCCCATATATTTGGATTGGATTTATTAGTTCTCATTTTTCATTTGTTCCTATTAAGTAATGTGTAAATCCTTTTGAAAAGCTTCTATTTACAATTTTACATTATTTAACATCCACCACTTTTCATTCCTAACCCTGTTGACATTATTTTTTCTGTTCATCTAATAAGCACATTTAATCTTTCTTTGTTTGCTTTGTTCATGGATCTGCAGTAAATTTCAAAAAATTTAAGTTTATTTTCCTTATGTTGTTAACTATCATAAGTTATTATGCAATGTATTGGGTATGATAAATTTGTGCACTCGGGATTGCCTCATTCTAGTGATTGTGTGAAAATTTTTTATTTCCTCTAACCTCCTTTCTAAGTGTATCTATAGTACCTACCCAAATTATTCTTTGCGGAGTCCGGACGCTAAATGCAGTTTAGAGACCAATCAAAATATGCCATGTTAGCGGTACCAAGCAGTACTGAGCCGTGGTACCGAGCGAGACGTTACGTGGCGCATTCTGGTTGGTCTCCGATGGCGTTCGGCATTTGCACAAAATAATTAATCTCATTTGAGACGACGGCTTCTTACTGCTTCTTATAACAGCTTTCTAACTAGTGTTTTAGTAGCTATAGTCTATGTGAGATTTGTCTTCTGAAAAGAACTAAAGCATGTTTGTTAGCTTGAAAATGAAACGATGGCTTTCTTTTTTATTGGGGATGGAACCTCCTCTTTATATTATGATACTTTGTGAGAATTTGGGACTATTTTTCAACAACATAATGAACATTTTGATCCATACCAAGCTGGAATCAATTATTCATGAGACTAACTGCCTGACATCTTCGCTGCCTTTAGTTAGAACTGTTACTGCTATGCCAATAAGAACTTTCTATTACTGTTAGACCTGCTATTGTTCTCTGCAATTCTATAGCCAAGTATAGTTTGAGAACTTTCCAAATGCTGGTTGGTTGGATTATATTTGGTTCAAAGATTCTTCTATAAATATATAACTAATATAGCTTGTTGGTTAGGAGATTTGGCTCTTAATTAAGAGATTTGAGATTCTAGGCCTTGTATAAAGTCTTTGCTTTAGACAAATTTTTTTATTATTTTATAAAGTGTTGTAGAGAAAGTGATTTTTTAATATTGTAGAAAGTAGATTTTTATTGCAATATTTTTTTATCGAAATTGTATTTGCGATATGAAAATCCAAGTATTGAGAAAGTTATCCCCGATGAAACTAATGACTTTACTTATGATACTAAAAGAATAATGAGAATTGTATTTATTAAAATACCCTTAAAACTATACTTAAATAATTTAATTATATCTAATGGGGCATAAAAAATGTATGAATATAATGAAAACTTATGAATAAATGAGTAATTAACCATAATGTCTCTAAAAATTCTAAAAATGACAAATATTAGAATCTCATGCTAAAAAAAATCAAATAAAGAATTCACTAAAAAAATGCATAAAAATTTTAGTTCGTATAATAATATCCTGTATTTTTATTTATTTTGAAATTATGCTTTATAAAATTATTGTCATATACGAAAAATGCTTCGATAGCAAATTATATAAAGGACAAATTTTTAAATTAGGTATTTCTAAAATTTTAATAATGTAATTAAGTATCGAAAAAAAAAATTTAAGAATAGGCAAAGTCGTCCATCGAACGGGCGACTTATGCTGACTCAGACTTGATGAGTCATGTAACCAGTCGCAAAAATAACATGCAACTTATTTAAAAAAAAAAATTACTATTGTAAGTTGTCCGTTAAACGGGTGACTTGTTATAGTGAATTTTGAAAAATAATTTAAAATTAAATTAAGTGAAAAAATTTTAAATAAATATACTTAGAAAATAGAGAAAAAACAAAAATAAATAATGTTAATGTAAGCTATAATTTCTATATTTTAATAGATGTTAATCATTTAAAAAATAGATATTCATCAAAATTTGATAAAAATTTTATTTATTTTGAAAGTATTAAAATTTTAATTGGTATATTTAATGGATAGGCGTTATATCAAAAATTAAAGCGACAGAAAAAAAAAATAACGATTCATAGTTTTTTTTTTTTTTTTTTTTTTTTTTTAACGATTCAAAATTTCTCCTTAAACATAGGCTTCAAAAGCAAATATCATAATTATATTATTTTTCATTATTTTTATTTTTTATTATTTTTCAAGTATATTTATTTCTTATATTTTTCATTTATTTTTTTAAATTATTTTTCAGAATTTACTGTAGCAAGTCGTCCATTTAACGGGCAACTTACAATAGTAATTTTTTTTAAAATAAGTTGCATGTTATTTCGGCGACTGGCACAAGTCTGAGTCAGCATAAATCGCCCGTTTGATGGACGACTTTGCCTGATTTTAAATTTATTTTTTTCAATACTTAATTACATTATTAAACTTTAAATAATACCTAGTTTAAAAATATTCTCTTATATAAATACAAATAATTATGGCTACGAGGCTAATTTTTTATTGTTTTTAAAGTATTTTTTAAGTATAAATTAAAAAAAAAAAACAGCTGTAAACTTTTTTATTGTTTGCAAATACAAATTAAAAATGCTATTTTTGTCTTTTTGTAACAAAAAAGAAGGGCATAAACAAATGTGCTTAAACAAATCATGGCCGCTCATCTTTATCCACGTGGACGGTGTCAAGCATCAGCTGACCGCATAATCGATGGACCAACCACCCGGTCGCATGCGGGGTAATTTGTATTCCTTATACGCGTCCATTGCATGACCGATTTTCAATTGCAGATTCTTAAAAGGAACTACCGTTAATTAAAAACTACTTTTACTTTTGACTCTTATTTTGTAATTTAATTTGATCTGTCCTAAATCTTTTTATTTATCAAATATTAATTTCTCAGACCCAACTCGTAGTGCTTGACCGTTTCTTCAGAGTCAATTCTGGCTTAATTTTCATTAATTAAAAATGTTCTGGGATTACCCTTATAATTAATTGTATTTTAATCATCTTAATGGTTGCGGTCTTTCTACTAAAGTCAATAACCCTAAAGCTAATTTGTTGTTAAGCATAATTAAGCCCTAAGATTAGATTTCTTTTGGGATAATTTTTTACTGCTTTATGATGCAATTTTTTGATACAAAAATTTTTAATTAAATTTTTTTTTTATAAAGCAGTAAAAAATTCTCATTATAATTCAAGATTTTTCTACTTGAGTAAAACTCTTTATTGCAACCAACAAGTGGAGAAATCTTTGCCACTTTAGAAGAGAATCATTCTCTTATTATAGGCTTTTTTTAAGATAATTTTTTTTACTTTTTTTTATAATAATTTTTAGTACAATTTTTTTAATAAAAATAGTGAAAGAATAGTGATAAAAAATTATCCCAAACGAAGCTGTAGCTATCGAAAATAGCATCTACTTTGCATTTTTATTTACAAGTGGAGATAAAATATGCAAAGAAAATTTTGAAATTTGTTGTGTAATGAACAAGAAAGTGAATCATATTTCTAAGTAAAGTCACAAGGCAAGTCAATCTTTCTTTGATTTCTCTTCAAAGACAGAACTTCACAGTGTAAATTCTAAAATCTTATTTATCTACTAGAAATTATCAATCATGGATAAATAAAAGAGGGTAAAGTGGATAACTATGTGGAATTAGGTTGAAATGACAGAGTAACAATTACTCGTAAAATATATCATTGGAGACCCACAAAGGGTAACGTAGAGTCATAATTAAGGCGAATTATTGCGTCCGGTCACCGGATGTCCGGACATCCAATCCGGTGACGCCAAATCACTCAAATACACCGTATTCCGATGTATTTTGGTGACGTGGTATTAGGAATAAATACGTGGTTTACTGTTAAATAGAATTTAGATTGTTCTTAGGCATACTTGTAATTACTATCATATACACTATAACCTTTATCTATATAAAGGTTCTCGGTCTGTACAATAATGCAAGATAATAATAATATACTTTCAAGTTCTCTCTCTATCTTTCTTTAGATTCTTGTAGTTCTTCATGGTATCAGAGCGGCTTCGATCCTGAGCCATGGCGGATTCGGCATCCTCACAACTTCAAGAAAGAAGCGGGAGCCAAGAGTCCGACGAAGCCACGATCTCGGCGAACTTGAAGTTCGTCGTATCTAATCTCCGTAATCTGGTATCTGCGTCCCTAACTCCGGACAATTTCAGCATATGGAAGTCGCAAATCTTGAAGACGTTGCGGGCTAATGGATTTCTGAAATTCCTTGATTCTAAATCCCCACCGCCGTCTCAATTTGTGATAAATTCGTCTGGTGCATCGGTCCCTAATCCGGCGTACGCTCAGTGGTTACAGACGGATCAAAATCTCTCTGCCTCCATATGCTCAACAATTTCGACCTCAATTCTTCCGTATGTCATCTCTCTTGATTCTACGGCGAAGGTTTGGGCGGCGCTCGAAACCAGATTTCAGGCGTCGAATAGATCGAGGGTGATTCAACTCAGAAACTCGCTTCACAATGTCTCGCTCAAGAACAACTCAATGACGGCTTATCTCTCGGAGATCAAGACCATCGTTGATCAAATCTCGGAGGCAGGATCTTCAGTCGATCCCGAAGATGTCATTCACCACATACTCAATGGGCTCCCACAGATCTACCAGTCGTTTAAGTCCTCAATCAGGACCTCAATCTTTCCTCTCACGCTTGAACAGATCTATCCTCTATTACTGAGCGAAGAAATCAATTTAGCCGCTGATGCAGCTCGGTTCTCGTCAATTCAAGATCCTACGATGGCACTGTTTAACCAAAGAGGCAGAGGCCGGCGACCCAAAGCAAAGAACTCATACAACAACTCGAACTCCAGCATAACGTCAAGCTTGGAGTCGTCTTCAACAATACCTCAGCAAAGAGCAAACGCACTCTCTGAGGTATCTTGTCAAATTTGCTACAAGAAAGGGCATTCGGCTCAAACATGTTGGCATCGTATGAATGCTCAATAT